ATGTCAACCAAAAAAGTAGCTGCGTATACGTCCTCTACCTGGGTCCTTCTCATAAATGTGCAAGCGGCATTTAAAACAAACATATAACATATATTACGCACTGTTGCTCAATACTTAATTATAGCTTCAGATGCATGATATTTTCATTTGCTACAAGCAGTATACACAAGAAGCATGTTCAACGCGGACACGCAGATGGTTGTCATGGTAATAAACACCGTAAACAGCAACCGTTCGCGTGTCCGCGCTTAATGCGCATATCCTATATGAAAAGCATTTTAGGGGGCCCTTGGCTTTTGGGGGCCCAAGGCGGTCGCCTACCTTAGCCTAATGGGTAAGTCCGCCCCTGTATTCACACACATGTAAATATTTCTTAAATATGTGCGTGTTTGTTAAAACAAACTTTTACGTTGTATGCGATTAATCGATTTGACAGCACAAAAAAAAGACAAAGAAAAGAAAAAAAACAACTGAATTTAATTAAATTGAAGAATTGACCCAAGTCATATCTAAAGATGACTACAGAGTGGCAGTAAGAAAGCACCTAGCAACCACCCGGAATACCCTAGCAACCGTATTGCAATGCTTTGATAACCACTTGACCCTCTGGTGCTATTTGGTCATTTTTGAAATGTTACTTTTTTTTTTTTTTTTTTAGAATTAAGGTTCTTGCACACTGAGTCCGAAATTTTCGTATACGTTTTTTCATATTCGTCATCCTAAAAATTTGTCACGCACAGAAACCTTGCACACTGAATCTGATACAAAACAATACAAAATGGAGTCTTCAAGCAGTGAGGATGATTTTGTTGTGCTCTCTCTTCTTAAAAAGAGAAAAAGAAAGAGGAAATATTGGATCCATCATCCAATTTAAGGAGAGTTCCAACTCCTTATGAAGGAGCTGTGGGATTATTCTGGGCGATTCAAAGTTTACTTCAGGATGTCAGTGGCTCAGTTTGATGCTTTGCTAGCGATACTGGAGGCACATATTAAAAAGAAGACCACCAATTTCTGTGACCTCAGTGTGCAAGGACCTATACAGTGCTTTGTGCTGCGAGAAGAAGCGGATCAACTTGTCAGACGTCTCTCAACCTCTCAAAATGCTTGCTATGGATGCGAAAAACGCAGAATATCGAACCCGTTCCAAATTTTTTTTATGACGAAAATTTCAAAGGCAGTGTGTAAACATGATTGACAGAACTTGAGTTCGTATTTATTTTTTTAACATGCATAAATTTCGGATGAAAATTTCAGACTCAGTGTGCAAGGACCTTTAGCATGAACAGTACGAAAATAGTATGAAATAGTACTAGTACGAAATAGTACGAAACTTGAGTTAGGTTTTGGCACTTGCTATGTGAACACAAAAAAATAATCATGGACATGATTCGGAAAGGTTAAATGATCCTGAAACAGTCACACTTGTAATGTTCATGGCCAAAAATGTCGGCATTGGAAATGAATGTACAGCGAATTTCATCTAGTGGAAACGTTTGGTACTGCACCCAGACAAAACCTTACTACTACTTTTTTTGCAATATCAACCTCAAATTTAAAACACAACTTGTATAGATTTATGGCTTTGATTTTCTCAGTTTTAGAGTAAAACATGTTTTGGAAAATATATATTTCATATAACATTTAAATACTGTATTTTTGTGATTAAAAAAAAACCCCAATAACAACAAACTTATAGAATTTTTTCAACTTTTTTTTCACTTCAGCAATAATCTGCCAAGAGTCATCTTAAAAAAAAGAGACCAAAATTAAGTATGCACTCCAAAGCATTCAGGATTTATGAGTTTAGGTTGAAGATTTCATTTTCAGATCTATGCTCAAAAAGTGGTAGTAAATGGATCATAACTATTCCATAAATATATTTTTGTACCATAACATCCCATAAAAATACAAAATATGAAATAAAAAACATCATCAAACTAAAATATAGCACATTCATTTCATTGAAATAATAATAATAAAAAATTGGTCATTTTTGACCGCCACATGAGCAGCACCAGAGGGTTAAAACACCCTAGAAACCACATAGCAACACCCTGGCAACCACCTAAAACACTAGACAACACACTAGGAGCACACAAGGCATTGCTATGTGGTTGTTATGGTGTTCTAGGTTGCTAGGCTAGTTCTAGGTCTTGACCACTGATCTATATATGACTTATATGTTCTCTATTATAGATCAGTGGTCTTGACCCAAAACATCCTAGTAGCAATCACAAGGCAATGCCATGGAAACCACCTAAAACAACCTAGTAACTACATAGCAATGCCCTGGTAACCATTCAAAACACCCTGGCATCATGGCAGTGAGTTTTGCACGGGAAAGCAACACTCATGTTTTCTTCAAAAAAATCAGGTCTATTTTTGGACACATCTAATCCTCGACTCAAAATTCTGACCAATGACAGGCAGAGAGAGATATTTGTGGATAGTTGTACAACTGACATCCCTGGAGCAATGTCACAGGGATCGGGTCCCCTGCACAAGGTCAAATGGTGAGGGGTTACATGGGATGCAATGGGTGAATCACATGGTAGCAGCCCTGGGGAACAGGCAACTTCTCTGACCTTTTCTCCTTCTCTCAAATCATCCAAACTCTCGAATGCAGTAAAACAGTACTAGACAGTTAATTATTAAAAAGGTTATATTATTAACTTTAAACATGTTTGTTTTGAATACAAATCGCTACAAGGATAATAGGGATTTCTGAATGGTTGCCAGGGTGTTGCTATGCAGTTGCTAGGCTGTTCTGGGTTATTGCCAAGACATAGAACTAGCCTAACAACCTAGAACACCTTAACAGCCACATAGCTAAGTCGCTAAATGTCACAGATGATGCCATACACGAATTAGCATATTCATGGCGTCATTATTTTTATACAGCCTATTTCAATTTTCTGGATAATCCGGATTTATAAACAAAGCGTCGTCTAACAAAATCACCATACGCATAAGTTAAAGGTAACGGCTGTGTTTTCAGATATATTTACATGTGAAATGATAACGAGAGAACAGCGAAAACGTTACAAACAACAGAATGTCAGCCTTGTGTTTTTTTGTTTTGTTTGTTAATAAAAAATAAAAAAAAAATAGCCAAAATAACTCGTCGCAAAACATCACTAAAAGTCACATCAACAATGAGAAAGTTGATACATTTGGTGACAAAATCCCCAAACTGGCAGCACTGCAGATCATTCCTTGAATGCAAGTCTGGGGTATTTTTTTTAATAATCTAGGTTAAGATAATTTTTATATATACATTTTTTAATATATTTAGAAATACATACATTTATAAATATATTTCTAGTTGTATAAATTAGCATTAGATAATGTATTATGAACAAACATAGATTAACAATAGTATATTTCTAAATTAACCTAGATTAATAAATGCTGTAAAAACCCACTGTCCATTGATAACTGACTAATGTTAACATTAATGTTAACGAAGTGAACCTCATTGTAAATCATCCTATTTTTAACAGCATATTTTTTTTTCCTTATACTTTGATATATAAATTTATATTTAAATCTATTATAAATGAATTTATTTAAATAATTAACAAAATGCGTTTAAAAATTAAACAAACTAATAACCACGGTTGCTTGCAAATTATTTGATATCTGAAAATAAAACTGAAAAAAAACAAAAAAAAAACAACTTAAATATCTTGTTTATCTCCCATCATATGAAAATCATAAACGTGATCATTCATTATAAGTATTAGCACAGACATCCTCAAGAAGCAATAGTAGTTTAAGCAATAGTAATAGTGATATTTGTCTTTTGCAAGCTCAACTTACATGTGACTGATTACTGAAGGAATTAGCCCACTTTCTGTTTTGACTTAAAGGCACTTTTACTGGCAGCTGAAAGCATTTTCAAACCCATCTAAATATTTAACAACACACATGCAGGAGAGATGTGTAGATATTTGTGGGTGTTCTAATTCTGCCAGAGTCTACAGAGCTTCCAGCTGAATTCTCCACGCAGGCTTGCCAGTCAGTTTTACTTACCTGAAGGATAAGGACGAAAAAGTCGACAGGTTTTCCGCGCTGATATAAATAGTGCTGTTGCGAGCGCTTGTCGTTCTCGTTGAACTTAATCTCCTGAATGACATCCGGGTGCTTGAGGATACGCAGTAAGACCTTGTCTGAAATCTGGAGCGGATTGAAAAGGCTCACCTCTGTGGAAAGATGGGCAACAACAAAGATCGGCTGTTATTTGCAATAACAAATGCTCAAAGTGAGAGGTGATAATCAGCGTCTTATAGTCGCAACAGCTCACCAGTAGCGAGGAAACGATGCGCTGCTAGCATTAGTTGAGGCGATATCTTGACTTGGGATTCCCTCTCATGTTTGAAAGCAGAAAAGTCCCTCTTGTTCTTGTTGGGATCCACTTTCTTTCTGTTACTATTGTCAGCTAGAAGGCAAAAAAATTATTAATCTCTCAACCAATGAGTAACTTGTTTCCCAAAAGCATCATAAGCCCAGGTATCACTAGGAATGTAATGATTCACTCAACTCGTGATGCGTTACGATTCACGATACTGATTTCACAATACGATTTTCTCACTATTTTATTTTATTTTTTTACAAAATGAGATTTAAGACAAATTATAAATAAGGTGTCTTTAATTATTTCTCAGACAAAATTCTACCCATTTCTTTGTGAAATTAAAATATGTAAAATAACAAAACTAAATAGAAATTTTAAAACAAATCTCAAATCAAATAAATAAATACAAATAAAAGATATCGCTTCATATTAGCAAACTAAGGCTTTTGCCTGTGCTCTTTCCCTTTAAAATTAGAGGCAATTGGACGCAGCATACATGCAGAACGAGCAGCTGTTGATTTAAACTAGATTGCATAATTTTGAAATTTGAAGCAGAAACAGAATGGTTTGACTTCAGCGTTGTGAAACTATACTATATAAATCATATCTGCACGAAACAAAAACAGCAGACGGGTTGAATGAGAACACAAATTCACTCTCTGCCAGCAGGTGGCGCTTATGGAACAGCAGCGATGCTGTAAACAAAGCAGCGCTGCACTTATAAATACTTCAATATGCATTTTACAGAGGCAAGATGAAAATAAAATACCATCTAAACTTTTCTGAAGTCAGTCAGTTCTCCTCAGAGGACTCACCCCTAATTGTGTCGCAATTCGTTTAATATCTCAACCGACTCAACCGTTTTTATCGATTTCAACCGGCTCGACGTGCATCGTTACATCCCGAATTGGCACCAATATTCTCAATGATCTACTTAAGCTTACGATACTTTTGGGAAAGCCTAGATCAATAAATCAACTGAACCAATTAATAAATCAATTACATTTCCATGGGTAATCTCATGTCTAGACTAGGGCAGTGCAATTAATCGCATGCGATTGTCATGTGCATCTCGTCAGTAAAGCCGGTTCCGTGATTAGTAGTAAATCACCTGCTTTCAGATGGAGCGGCATTTACTACACAGAGCCGTAGTTCACTGACAAGCTAGGCAATATCGCGTTCATTATCGCAGGTGATTTGATCTGCGATAATGAACACGATATTGCCTAATTGTCAGTGAACTATGGCTCTGTGTAGTAAATGCCGCTCCATCTGAAAGCAGGTGATGCATATTGAAGTATTTATACGTGCAGCGCTGCTTTGTTTACACAGCATTTATACAGCATCGCTGCTGCTCCATAAGCGCCACCTGCTGGCAGAGAGCGAATTTGTGTTCTCATTCAACCCGTCTGCTGTTTTTGTTTCGTGCAGATATGATTTATATTGTATAGTTTCACAACGCTGAAGTCAAACCATTCTGTTTCTGCTTCAAATTTCAAAATTATGCAATTGACTTTACTGGCAAACAAGCAAGAAAATAACTATCACGAATGTACTGTAGAGATCAGACTCGTCCAGGATCTCAGATTTGATGATCTCCTCAATGACGTCCTCCAGCGTCACCAGACCCAGAACCTCGTAGAACGGATCCCCTTCGCCCTCATTATTCACCTTCTGAACGATGGCCAGGTGGGATTTACCTGTGGACAGAGCCAAAGATGTTGAACATTGGGAAAATGGTGATTTAAATGTTCCAAGTGTTGTAATTGCAAACTGAATGGCTGTTTAATGGTTATTAAGATTTAGTTCACACCAGGCTAGGAAACCCACTGAGTGGGTGTAGAATAATTCAAACCATATTCCTATGGAAACACTGCATGGATATGCATATTAATGAGCTGTATTATCACTGCAGTCTGAAAACCCCATGAATTATTCATCATCTTGTTTTATCCGAGGGGCCGTATCAATCATAACCATTTAAGCAATACTGGACCATATGGCTTCATGTTTGAAGCCAAAAAGAGTCAGATCAGAAGTGCTACTAAACTTAGAGCTCAAAGAGCTTAGGAGTGGGAAATGACGGAGATGTCTGGGGATTAGAAATAGAAAGGAAAAAGGGAAGGATGGAGCAAGACAGGAGCAGAAGACACTGACTTTTTTTTTTTAACGTTAAGAGTGAATCTGAAAACGCTGCACAATCAACACTACTGGACAAAAGCTGTATAATATTGAATTTGTACAACACTTAATGCTCAAATCTGAACCAAAATAAATTGATGGACTAATACAGAAGTTCTGACCAACACTGACAACCAATTATTATTTTTTGTTATATGTTAATGCATGTTTTCCCCACTAAAGCTTTGAACTATATTTAAAATACAAGTAAAATCAGGCATTAAAACATGCTTCTAAATAAAAAAAAGCTTCAAACTTTGTTCACATCACTAACCCTAAACACTATTTTTTGAATGACTAAAATGATATCATGCATCTCTAATAAGTGACCTCAAATAGAGGAAATATGCTAATTTATTTCTGAAATCTTTAGAGTAAGATCAAGCCTTATTTTATAATACAAAAAGCACCAGACAAGCAGACTGCTTAAGAGAAGAGCTAATATTTTGTTGCTGAAATACACTCCAGTGTCCCTGAGGGATCGGCATTTAGCAAACCACCCACATTTACTTATTTGCATACTCATAAGCTTTTTTACATACATTCATATCTCAGTGGAGCTCATTTTAAACAAATAGTAAAACACATTTGAATAGGGTTTGGAGAGTTTCTACAAATTTATCATCAAATGCAGCAAAAGCAATGTCCTGAGTTGACATTCTGGACAATACAGTGCCTGTCACATTGCTTTTGTCTCTCTGTGGCACCTCTGCAGTGCTGCAGTGATTGGGAGAGGAAAAATGCAGTGGGATGAACTTCAAACCACTAATCATTTTAAAACACCGCCCATCCAACTCATCTTTAATCAAACACATCAATACTCTGGGGCAAAACGGTGTTTCACACACAACTGTGTTTTGAAATGTGCTTCAACAGTTTGTACAAAAATTAAACCAGCATAATTATGATTAAAGTCAATAAAGTGAAATAAAATATTAACATTCATGCATTTGGCAGACACTTTTATTATTTTCTTTGCATATAAGGTATATGCAATGTTATCACTGAGATGTTAATATCAATTATATATCATATAAACTATACAGATATATATTTTTTTACTATCTGTTTTCATTTTAATTTTAGTTACGTTTAGTCATTTTTAGCAGTTTATAAATATAAAATGTTGCCTGGGTTACTAGTTGATTTTTTTTTTTTTTATGGTTTTCATTTTAGTTTCAGTTTTAGCTAACTATAATAACCCTGAGCATACATTTTAACAGTTCATAATGCAATTACAATTAGTTAACTAACATGAACTAACAATAAGCAATATATTTTTTACAGCATTTATTAACCTTTATTAATGGTAGATAACCAAGTTTGTTCACAGTGCGCTTACTAATGTAACCAGATACAACTTTTTGAAATTAAAAATGTATTAGTAAATGTTGAGATTAAGATTAATACATGCTATATTAGTTTTGTTAATGGTTAGTTCATGTTAACTGATGTAGTTAACTCATGTTAACAAATAAAACCTGTAAAGTGTTACCAACATCTTTAATGGATGAACATTAACAAGTACTAATCTGAATATTGAGGGAAACACGTCTCCCTAAATTTCTATGGTGGTTACGGCCCCAAATCTGAAGGTAAAAGTGGTAGAACATCAGAGTGAGTGTGCAAACTCGGGTGGACCGGATGTTGGTGTGTATTTTTTATGAGCATCAGGTGCTTTTGGCAGCATGGGATACCTCTGTCTTTTCTAGAAGAGCTTCATATTGATCAGAGGCTGATACAGGGAGCATATGGTTATTGATTCGGCTCTCAGGGGGAATTCGAGCACCCATCATAATCAATAGGAGGATGAAAACAACTGCATGGAGCCAAAGTCTTTGCTTCCTGTGAGCACAGCAGGTTCTTTTTAAACTTTCAAAACCACTAACCTTTCTTAAACTCCTCCAACATGGCATCCAACTTAGTGTCGTGGAAGACGAAATGCACCGGGTGGTTGTAGAACTTGGTGACCGTTTTAAGCGTCGTGCAGTCGTCGGGGTCAACGAAGGCCAGGTCTTTGACGTACAGGATGTCCACGATGTTGGAGAGCTCTGCATCATACACGGGTATCCGCGTGTAGCCACTTTCCATGATCTCAGACATGGTATTAAAGTCGAGAACGGCGTCAATGTGAATCATGAAGCAGTTGCTCAGAGGCGTCATCACATCCTCAACCGTCTTGGTTCGGAGTTCCAGAGCACCTTGTATGATGTTCAGTTCTTCTTTCACCAGGTCGTTGTAGGGTTCGGTGACCTTCAGCATCTCCACCAGCTTCTCACGGTTGTAGACGGTGCCAATTTCCTGCCCGAGAACGCAGTCCAAGAGTTTACTGACGGGGAATGACAATGGGAAGGTCAGGAGCATGAAAAATTTGGTCAACACGATGGTGTTGGCGCCTACGGCCAAACCGTGGCGTGAGCACAGCGCTTGTGGCACGATTTCACCAAATATGACAATGCCAACAGTAGATGCCACCACGGCTCCCAACCCCGACCCAATCAAATCATCTAGCAGGATCGTCAAAGTTGTGTTGACCAGCACGTTACCCAACAATAAAGAGCAAAGCAGATAGTTGCCCTTGCTTCGAATAGGTTCGATTTTTCGCGCATACTTCTTTTCCTTATTAGTTCCACAGCTTTGTACAATGCGAAGCTCCATTGGATCCAACGCCATGAGCCCCAGGTTGAGCCCACTGAACATGCCGGACAGCACCAGCAAACCTGAAATCAGGATGATTTGGAACCAAAGAGGTAGAAAAGTTTCTTTCTCCTCTATGACTAACAATCTTCCATCATTTTCACCCAACTGGACCCATTTGTCTCCCAAACCCTGCCTGACACATAGGCTGTAGGTCTTTTCTCGTTCACTCTTACGCAGTGGCTTCACATACACACTCACCAGACCTGATGTTCCTCTGTTGCTCACGTTCATTAAGGTGCTGATGCTCAGGTCTTTGGTGAAATCCTCACAAGTCCTGTTTAATTCGTCACTGTCCCCCGTATCCACATACTCTGTGAACCTGATGTGGGATGCTGCGTCCGGGCTCAGGTGCACCCCATAAAACCTGAGCACGACGCTGCTCTCCTCCGTTACCTGGATGACCCCGTCCTCCGTCGTGCTGACCGCTTTGTCGCTCCTCTCCAGCCGCATGCCCAGGATCTGACTGCTGGAACTGGGGCTCGACGTCTCCGTCCGCCCGCTGACAGAGCTCCAGAGGAACACGATGAAAGTTAGAAGACACCCCTGTCCGCTCCGCTCTGTCGCCATGTTTGTTGCGCTCTCTCCGCAAGGCTGGACCTTACGTCACGTCATCGCTGCCACAAGCGGGCCCCGCCCCCTTATTTGCATAATGCAAAATTGCGCAACGCCCACTTTCATAATTAGGAACAATCTGGAGTTAAACTAATATATGCGTGCGAGTTCTTATTTAAAATACATAATGTTTGGGCTTTAAAGATAAACGTCTCATGGCATTATAAGGTAGTAATTATTTATGATAAATTGTGGTAATACGTTTAAATAAATTTAAGCATCTAACAGGTTTACGATTAAACAT